GGGGGGGGTGGACCCAGGCACGCGACTCACCCGATTGGTCCTCGGTGGTGTCGGCTGTATGGATCTGGTTGTCGAACCAGAGATGCGCCACCGTCATCCGGTTTTGGGTGAGGGTCCCCGTCTTGTCGGAGCAGATGACCGAGGTGGAACCCAATGTCTCCACCGCTTCCAGGTTCTTCACCACGCAGTTCTTCCTCGCCAACCTCTTCGCCGTCAGCGAGAGGCAAACCTGGAGGTGCGCAAGTCCCTCAGCACCCTGGGGAACGCTGGGAAGCCCTAGAGCACCCATGGGACCTCCTGTGGTGGCCTTGGAGCCATGGGGACCTCCAGGAAAGCAGCTGATGCCTGTGGACCCGTAAGGACAACCAGAACCCTGGGTTGTGGTGGACTCACGGGGACCTCAAGAGTCCCAGGTGACCCCATGAAGACCCTCAAGTCTCCCGTAGCACCCATGCTTTGTGATGGGACCCACAGCCCTACGGCTCCAACCCCTGTGATGCCTCAAGCCATACCGTGACAGTGGCCAGCAGCCCCTCGGGGACGTAGGCCACGACGATGGCCATGAAGAAGACCATGGCACGGAGGAAGGGGTAGCCGATGACCATGGCCACCACGAAGAAGGTGGCACCGAAGAAGATGGCAAGGCCGGCGATGATGTCGACGAAGTGCTCGATCTCGATGGCGATGGGGGTCTTCTCGTTCTCCACCCCCGAGGCCAAGCTGGCGATGCGCCCGATGATCGTCCGGTCACCCGTGTTGATCACCAACCCCATGGCCGTCCCTATAGGACCCAGATATCTGGGTGGTTTAAGGGACCTGGGTGTCCGGGTGGGACCCAGATGTCCACGTTGGACCCAGATGTCCGGGTGGGACCCAGATGTCCAGGTTGGACCCAGGCGTCCGGGTGGGACGCACCTTCTAGGCACATGGTGGAGAAGAAGGCGATGTTGCGGGTCTCCAAGGGCGAGTCATGGGTGCACTCGGGTGACCGCGTCTGGGGCTCCGACTCCCCCGTCAACGATGAGTTGTCCACCTGGAGGTGGTGGTGGGAGGACACGTCTCAGCCTGACACGTGAGGACACCACGTGTCACCCCCCCCCGAAAGGGACCCAGACGTCCGGACCAACCTTACAACCCTGAGCTGAGATGATGCGGATGTCTGCAGGGACTCGGTCGCCTCCTTTGATCTCCACCAGGTCACCGACCACCAATTCGTTGGCGTTGATCTGTAGTTTGTCTCCTTCCCGGATCACCGTGGCTTGCTGGAGGTCACAGGAGAATCCAGGTGTCCGGGTGGGAACCCAGGTGTCCGGGTGGGGACCCAGAAGGGACCCAGGTGTCCTGGTGGCCCCACCTGAGGGACGAGGTTCTTGAAGCTGGCGATGATGTTGGTGCTCTTGAACTCCTGGTAGTAGCCGAAGCAGCCGGTGACAACAACAACGGCAATGAGGGCGATGGCGAGGTACAGCTGGTGGGAAGGGACAGGATCAGGCCCACAGGGTGGGGACCCAGGGAATCCGGGTACCCCCATCCAAGGGGACCCAGGTGTCCTGCTTCCCCCCCTGAGGGTCCTAGACATCTGGATCCCCGCTCCAAGCCCCACAAGTTCTCCCCTCCTGAGCGTTCCTGGCTTCCAGGTACCCCCCAGATGTTCTCCAGATGGACCTAGGTGTTCCCCCACCCCAAGATGGACCCATACGTTCCCCCACATGGACCTAGGTGTCCCCAGCCCAGATGAACCCAGGTGTTTGCCCAGATGGACCCAGATATTCCCCCAGATGGACCCAGATGTTCCCCCAGATGGACCCAGATGTTCCCTCCTAGATGGACCCAGATATTCCCCCAGATGGACCCAGATGTTCCCCCAGATGGACCCAGACGTTCCCCCCGAGATGGCCATAGATATGAACCCAAAGGTTCTCCCAGATAAACCCAGAGGTTCTCCACCCCAGATCTTCCCCAAGATGGACCCAGGGGTTCCTCAACCCATGGACCCATGCGTTCCCCCTGAGATGGACCCAGATGTTCCCTCCTAGATGGACCCAGATGTTCCCCCTGAGATGGACCCAGATGTTCCCCCCTGCGATGGACCCATGTCTCCCCCCAAGATGGACCCGGGCATCTTCCCCCCACCACAGATGGACCCAGGTGTCCAACGTACGTTGTCGGAGCTGCCGCGGTCACCCTCCCCCTCCTGCACGCCGTAGGCGATGAGGCAAATGGCCGCCGCCACCCACATCAGGCACTGGAGACCCCCGGCCAGCTGCCGCCCAAACTTGACGCATTCGGGGGTCCCCCGGGGGGGGCGGAGCTCGTTGGGACCATCCCGCAGCAGCCGCTCGGCTGCCACCGCTTCTACCAGGCCCTGCCGGGGTCGATGGGGGGTCAACAGGGTTGGTGGGGGTCATGGAGATGACTGGGGTCAATGGGGTTGGTGGGGTCAACGGGGATGTTGAGGGTCATGGAGGTGACTGGGTTCAACGGGGTTGATGGGGTCAATGGGGCTGACAGGGGTCATGGAGTTTATGGGGTCAACAGGGTTGGTGGGGTCAATGGGGTTGGCAGAGGTCATGGCGTTGACCCCTGGGGTCAATGGGGTTGGTGGGGCCAATGGGGTTGATGGCTCATGAGGGGTCAACGAGGTTGATTGGGGTCAACGTGATTGGTGGGGCCATGGGTCAACAGAGGTCAATGGGGTTGAGGGTCAGAGGGTCATGGTGCTGGGAGCTGTGGGGGTTGGCCGGGGTCGGAGGTCAGGGGTCACCCACCTTGGTGATGCTGGTGCTGTACTTGAGCTCCAGGTCGTTCACGTCAAGCTTGTGGTCATCCTGGGGGCACCTGCCTCAGCACTGGCCCCTGACCCCCGACCCCTGACCCTTGCAGTGCCCCCCAGTATAGCCCAGCGCCCTCACAGCCCCTCCCAGTGCCCTATTGACCTTCCCAGTCCCCCTCTTGACCCCTCCAGTCCTCCCCATTGACCCTCCCAGTCCCCCACTGACCATCCCAGTTGCCTCCATTGACCCTTGATGAGCTCCCCACTCTCTCAGTTGACCTCCCAGTGCCCCCCATTGACCCCCAGTCCCTCTTGTTGACCTCCCAGTTCCCCAACTGACCTCCCAGTCCCTCCCAGTCCCCCCCCTCATACCACATCCATCTCCTTCTTCATGTCTTCCAGTTTCTCCTGCTTGCGGCGGCCACGGCCCTTTTTCGCCGGGGGCGGGGCCTTGCCCCGTGGCCCCAACTCATAGCTCTCCTGGGGGCAGAAGTCAAGGGTCAGCTGGGGGCAGGTCCCTTTGTCCGTCTGTCCGTCCATCCCTCCCACCTCCATCTTTCCCTTCACCTCGTGCCACCTTCTCTCTGCCCACGTGTCCATCTGTCTGTCCCTCCATCCCTCCATCCCTCCGTCCATCC